TTTGGGAGCAGGGTACTAGGTGTGGCTGAGCTTGTGAACAAGTCTGAAAGTTAAATAATTTAAATGTTTTATAAATTATATATAATTATCCAGTGTTTTTCTTGTTAGTCTACAAGTGGAGGGTCTCTTTAAAGATAATTATCCAGATATTTTTATCCCTTGTTAACATTATAAATGTTTGCAACACTTTTCTCTATTTAATACTGCTAATTAGTGCTATCTGATAGAATATTTATAGAATTAGTATAATTTAGCAGTAACTATAGGTGGTATTTATAGCCTGGTTCTCACTAGAAGATGAGCATAAGAATAAGCGACTGCTGTTATGAAGCATTTTTAAGATTTTGCATGGTCCACCTGATATGAAGTAATTAGCAGTATGATAAACAAATAATAGGCAGCAAAGGAAAATCAGGTGTTGTAGTTTTATTGAAAACAAAAAATCTAGTTAAGAAATATAAAATGGCGCGGATGTCTCTGTCCTCTGATATAAACACGGTGGGAGTTCGAAAAACACGAGAGAAGCAAGCTTAGGAACACGAGCGTGTTTATACCAGAGAACAGAGACACAAGCGGCCGTTTTATATTTCTTTTATAAAACTTTTCGAGCAAAAAGAAAAGTTTGCTGGTACTTAGCCGTGTCTCTGTCCTCTTATATAAACACGGTCGTCAGCCAATCAGACCGCGCATTTTATATCAAAAATTTTATAATGTTCTATATAGAATGCATTACTCTCAATAAGCCTCTGTCAAAATAAAGTGTGTATAATTTTCTGAATTGTTCGTTCCTTAGGTGCTTCTAAAGATAAATATGTTGAAGATTTGTATAACAATGTTGCAGCACTTGAAGAATTTTCAAGATGCATGGATCCACAGTTCAAAAATATCGAAAACTGGGAACACTTTGCGTTTGCTCTTGGTGTTCCTCCAGTCACTATCCGTACATGCAAACTGTACTCGGAATGTAGTCCAACAATAAGACTCTTTAAATACCTGGAGGTAATAAAGCCTGATATGACTGTTGGTGATCTTCGTGCTGCCTTAACAAGAAATCTTGAAAGAGCTAGATTTGATTTAGACAGAATGCTTGAAGGTATAGATGCATGATCAAAGTATGGAATATTCCTTAATCGAACTTAAAGTAACATGGGAAAAGAGGACATGCTCCTGACAATTCACTTAAGCTCTAGATAGGAAAAAATCAAATGTTCTTTACAGGCTGCTCCATTGTGTCAATAGAAGAGTTTTATAGTTCCCTTTTTCATTCTGCCCAATGAGTTTCCAAATTTTAAAAAAAGTTAAAGGGAAAAAACCCCCAGCATTTGTCAGAGCAATCTCTTTGCAACAAAACTTGTTTAATTCACCAGAGGAACACTCTGCAAAGCTATACCAAGCAACTTGAAACTCATCAAGCTTACTAAATGCTCTTAGTTTGGTTTATTTTCAGATAAATTGGCAAATGAATGTAAAGTATCTGAAGCTATTACCAATTCTACTTCTGAAATCTTGGATAAGATTGCATTAAAGCTTGATTCAGCTTCACCACCAACATGTACGTGGATAGATTTTGGTCTTGAGCTGGGGATAACCCGTGACACACTTAAGGAATTTGAGATGTACACTAACTACAATCCAACAGAAGCACTATTCAGATGTCTATATACAGCAAGTGCAAAACCTCTTAAAGCAAGTCTGATTGTTGGTTACTTTGAGGAGATGGATAGGCAGGATATCCTTGAAGTGATCAAACAAACAATACTTTCATCAGGTAATAATTATATTTGCTTGAGATCTAAAGTACTGAAGCACAAGTCCAATCTTTTTTTTCTTTTTGTGTTATTTTAATTTTTTTCAGTTTGAATTATGCATTTTTTGATAAATCCATTGAAATAGCAAAAACTGTAATATTAAACATCACAATTAGGATACAGCTTTCTTAATTGGATTCCTTAATTTCTGATAGAGATAACTTGATATACTCAAACTTTTAAGTGATTCACATTGCAGAAATGTTTTCCATATATAGAGTGACATAAATGGTGCACAATTTTTCTTTGCAAAATAAATAATGTACTTCTATCAATATTTAAGCTTCTAAGTCATGAATTATCTTGTCATGGATTACAGATATTGACTCCAAGGATGCTCAAGACATTTTCAAACTTGGTTCAGAACTTCTTGTCACAATTTCCAGGAAGTTAAATGAAGATTGTCCAGGTGTGGGAGGCTGGAGGGTACTTGCAAGTCATCTGATAGCTGACCAGTACATTGATGACCCAGACATCATATCAAAGCTGGAGCCACCACATCAACATGAAATTCACAGTCCAACAAAGAAAATCATAGAATGGCTTATAGCCAATAAACCAGATTTCACTATTGATGAATTAATTGCAAAATGTGAAGAAGTTGGCCGTAATGATGCTGTAAAAATTCTGATTGGACACTATTCCAGAGCAGTTGGTAAGTAGAAATGAAGTTGTGTTATAATGCTCCTGGTTCAAACACTGTTTACAAATGGGCAGTCTCCTCTTGAAACTGTTATTTGACCCCATTGGGATAGTTGTTATAATCAGTCAGTAGGGTCAAGATGGTGCTGCTTCTTCTGTATTTACGGAAGATTAGTTCACAGATAAATTTTACAAAAAAAAAAAAAAATTCTGTGGTCTTGCTTAATGCCCTAATTCCTGTCACATCAATAATTGCATAATGATTCATAAGATTTTAGCAGTCACTCTTCATGTTAATATTTTCTGTTGTTTAGAAGATTTTGGTGATGATACAACATCCCGACAAATTATTGTGCAAGAAACAACAAAAGGTGAGAAATACATTGTCTACAATGAAGGTTTTTCAAGAGGCTTTTCAGATTCAATTTGGGAATCTGATTGTTGATTTATAGAGAAACTTTGGATTATCTAAACCAATTACAAAAATGATTGGGCGTGAAGAAAAGAAGGCAGAATTGATTAAACAGATTCTACATCCCGAAAATCGTTTGATTGTGCTTCATGCTGCTACAGGATATGGAAAGAAAACACTAGCAGTTGTAACAGCCTATGAACTCATTGACAAACATGATTTCACGTGCATATATGTAGGTTCCGATGGTACCTTTACTGTTGAAGACCTCGCTATCAAAATCTTGACAACTTGTGGAATTCCAGCTCCTTCATTTGGTGAAAAGGAAAAAGTGATGGAGCTCTTTAAAGTCGTCACCAGAAAGTGCCTTCTTATTTTGGTTAACTTTGATCACACATTCCATAAGATCAACCCAACTAACATTAAACCGAAACAGTTCTCCTGGGCAAATACTACCAGAAAGGAGGAATTCCAAATGTTTATCGAAGATGTATTGAGATATACCTCAAGTTTGACAATTCTTGCCACAACCTGGCAGTCTTTCTCTTTTGCCGTTACCACTAAAGAAGTTGAATTACCGCCACTTACATGGTCCGATTCAAAAGAGCTTTTTTTAAGTATGTGTGAGTCAAAAGTACAAGGAATCAAAAGATCCAGTATCCAAACTGATCTATTAAACTCCTTCCTAGAATGCTGTGGCGGTATCCCGCAACTTCTTCTTAACGCAGTGCTCATTGTCAAAAAAGTTGGGTTTGAAACAGATAGTTTGGCTTCTATTCCACCTGAGCGACAACTAGAGATGTTATATGACCCTAGTCTTAAATATTTGTGAGTCAGAAGTACAAGGAATCGAAAGATCCAGTATCCCAAGTGATCAACTCCTTCTTAACGCAGTGCTCATTAGTCGTACTAGCCGAAGGCTAGGTCGACTTGAAATTTACCTTTTAATCTATCAATCTATCTATCTATGTGTCATGTCGCGTTTGGACCACCGGAAGTTAAGAATTTAATAATTAAACTAATGAGTTGTCTGTGTTATTACATGACCGGAAGCTCAAKCGTATTGATGTGCGAATATCGTTAGTAAGTGTTAGATGCTACTTGCGCTTTTATATGATAAAAAAATATTCGTTTACAAATGTGGTATCTGTGATCTCATTGGAATGCATCAGTCTAGGCATCAGAAGTACGCGCATGTGCAGAGCTCCGAATAGCGTTAGACAGTCTTGTGACAAAGATTTCAAATTAGAACAAGAAACTTGTTTATCAATAACAAAAAGGCGACTTTGATTATTTTATAGGCATCTTTTATTCTTTAAAGTATTTATTTTCTTAGCCTTAGTGGTCAACAATTTGAATTAAAAACGTATTAGATATCACATAGCGACATTTAGTCTACCACGGTTTGATTTTATCAGTTCAATTGTATTAGGTAAAATACATTCTGTTCGCAGGGTATTAATTACATGACCATTTAGGCCAAATTTAGATTTCTATCGTTTTGAATTCGTTGCAGAGAGCAGTCAAAAAGAATATCGTATCGTGTGAATAAACAGTTTTGAACAGTACATTAATTAAAGTGAAAGTAATGCATTCTTTCTTTCACTATGTATTAGAAGTAAAACGTATATTCTACGCCATAATTTACATTCATAATATAATCATATGATTAGACAGAATATAACATAATCTTATCGTGTTTAAGCGATCCATGTAATATCCTGTCTTTATCAATTTTCAAAAATAGCTAGTCCGACTTCAGGCCGAAACTAAGCTCTCTTGATAATTTTTCTGCAAAAATCTCATACACAGACAAGAAATTTGTTAGTGACAAGTTTTCAAAGATCAAAATTTCAATAGTATGTACAACATAAAAACTGTTATACAACAATGATAAGTGTGCACTCTTATAGTGTTTGTAATCTATAATTTTAAATGTTAATGTTTCATTTTCATAAAATAGTAAAAATGTTGAATTTACAACCAGTATTCATAAATATTTTTATGTTTATTAAGAATATTTACAAAAAACAAGTCCGAGTACAAAAAATTTGTGTCTAGAATCGCCTTAAATTGCCTAAAATCGCAGTAAATCGCCCAAAATCGCAGTAAATCCCCTTAGATTTAGATGGGTTTTTGGTGATTTTTGCTTAATCGCCTAAAATCGCTTAAAATCGCCTACAATCGCCCAAAATTACGGCGATTTTAGGTCCCGTACTAGGCCTGACTTCACGCCCCAGGAGCGTCTAGTTGTCAAAAAAGTTGGGTTTGAAACATGTGTAGATAGTTTGGCTTCTATTCCACCTGAGCGACATCTAGAGATGTTATATGACCGTAGTCTGAGCTCAAAAGAAGGTTTTCATCCCTGCCTTGACAATTGCTTTGAACGCCTTAACAATATTTCACAAAAGGTTCTCGTGATGATTTCAGTACTCCCAGGGTTCTTCTCATTCGACGAGGCTGCAACGATCGTCACGAGCTTAATTTCGAACAAGGAGGAACTTCAGGATGGGTTAACTGATTTGATAAACTTCAGCTTCCTGTCTTACAACCAAGAACGAAAGGGGTATTATTTAAGTCCTACCATGAGATTGTTTGCAATCGATAAAGCAACACAGGAACCACCAACCTCTTCTGAAACTGACTCCACTGAATCCGACTTGAGCCTCGCGTACAAGGGTGCCATCTCAAGATTTGTGTATTACACATTGCTAACGCGTTTAAGATTGAAAATGATTTCTTCAGCACCGACAGTGCAAATGCCATCCAGAAATACAGAAAACAAGAGGCAAATCTCAGAGAAATGGCAAATTGGTTCATCTCTGATAGACTCTCGAAAGACACAGACATGAAGCGCCTCAGGTACTACATCATTGAGTCATTCATGAAATGCTACTTGGTCAACATCAAGATGATGGAGAGAGGTTTATTGAAAACCATCCTGCGTAGTATTTTCAGGTTTTGTCGAGATGAAGAAGACATAGACAAATGTAGACACAAAGAAGCGATACGTCGAATGTCTGACTTATGGCAGAGTTAAATGCACTTTGGGTTGTCTCTGTGTGCCCCAGCTGTGTCCAGTTGCTCTGGAGCAAGCAATGTGGTGCTTTAATGAAGTTCTGAAGGCATTATGCAACAACGATAAGACGATTCCAAATTTGAAGGAACAGCTCAAAATTGTGTCTAATGGCAAGATCATGTCCGAGGGAGCCCAAACTCAATTCCTCCTCAAGTATGGCAAGTGTTTGGTTTGGCAAGGACGAAAGGATGAAGGGTTGAAATTCGTCGAAAAAGCGGTTAAAATACGCGAGAAAGTGTTCAAGAAATCAAAATCCACAAAAGATCGCGTTATGGTGGCAGTGGCTTGCAATGATCTTGCAAGTCAGTAAGTCTTCTTTCAATCTTATTTAAAACTTATGGCCCAACATGATACACGGGTTTAAGCAATCTTAGGGCAGCCCCTCATAAATCTACCCTGATCTGGGATGATGAATGTAAATTTAGAGTTCAGTATGGTATTTAGAGTTTGCTTACACTGTGCCAAAAGCCGAATATTCAAGAACAGGAATCACTAGAGTATTCAAATCAGAAAACTTCGAGTATGGCTATCCTAGAGTATTCAAACCAACATACTTTAAGTCAGTCTGTAGTGTTCTGATCGAATATTCTTGCGTAACGTAAAGAACAGGAATCACTAGAGTATTCAAATCAGAAAACTTCGAGTATGGCTATCCTAGAGTATTCAAACCAACATACTTTAAGTCAGTCTGTAGTGTTCTGATCGAATATTCTTGCGTAACGTAAAGAACAGGAATCACTAGAGTATTCAAATCAGAAAACTTCGAGTATGGCTATCCTAGAGTATTCAAACCAACATACTGTAAGTCAGTCTGTAGTATTCTGATAGAATATTCTTGCGTAACGTAAAGAACAGGAATCACTAGAGTATTCAAATCCGGTATACTACACGTTTTCTGACCGAATACGGTACTCTTGAAAAACGTAACGAATGGGAATCAATGAGGTATACGTAATAATACTTCTGACTCAATTACCCTATAATTTTCATTTAATTTGTCTGTTTCTCTTTCTCTACTGTACTGTGCTGTGTGGTGCGGGGGACAGGGAGCCCGCCACTAAGAACGGCTGCGAGGAGACTACTGTTTCTCACATACGTACAGTTTAAGACAATATGCAAAATCTCACATGAAGTTCGCTTATTTTTATTTATCTATTTCGAATTTAATTTTATTTAGCTTACTTTTCTATTCAATATTTTCAAAAAAACGTTTCCGCCGGGAGACTGGGGCGAGGATACCCATGATCCTTTGCCATATTCTATTGTTCCATCGCCGAGCGCCCGCCAATTTCAACCGTCACTTTCAGGACCTTTGAGGTGTAAGACTACAGATTTTCGTCTCTAATAGCAGTTTTCGTGGATTTTATTCGTTTAAAAGCTAACACCCTTCAACAAGTAAGCTATCCGAGTGGCTGTAGTGTCTTTAGGCATTATATTTTACCGTGGATGACAGTCAACTGGTGAGATTCGATGGCAATTTACATGTAAGGTACGTTATTAGTCTGTTTTGACGCTCTGATACATTGTTGTTGAGTTATCACTAGTCATCGTGATGTCAAACATAATAAGAATTTCTAACGATATCTTTCTTGCACATAGACACCAAATCAAAGTCTTGAAACGAATGAATATCATGGATACATGTGTACAAGAAGCTCAATGTAGCTGAAACTATG